GCAGTGTAGAATATCAATCCTCTCATATATTGCAATAACGTCTTAACAACTTCTCATTTGCCAAACAAATAAAGTTCGAGTCTAGCAAAAGTGAAACCTTTTAAAAAAAAAAAAGGAGTTTAACCTTTCTCTAAAACTGGAAGAATAAGGACATAAATTAATAATCAAGAATTGAACATAGAACCCAAAACTGGGAAAAAGGAAATAAAGCACTAGAATAAAAATCTTGTATTATTACAAAAGGATACGAGTTAAGTGAAATATGTAGGACTACTCCATGTTTGTAGTGCTGTCGTGCGTGAATTGATATGCTTTAATTAATTATACTAATCAGTCTTAGTACAATTAATATCCTGTGAATTTCTAAGCTTTACCAAAGTTGTTGAGTAATTATCAGTTTAATTGTGCTCGGATGCATGCCCAAGATGTGTTAATTTAATATTTGTCGCTAAATCTTCATAATCAGGGAACAAGTACATAATCTTCAATTTTTTGGAATTGGTATAGAAGGGCGTAACCCTCAAAAGTGGTAGTCACAAAGGATTTTCCTTTTGCTTTTGAGGATAAATGCAATTGAAATTGCAGAGGTTACATCACTATATGATATTAGCCATTGATTATGTCACATTCAAAAGAGTTAATTTCAATCGAAATGCTAGTTTTAAAATCATGACCTATTATCTTTTTGTTGATTTGCGAGCTCCTTATGACGGTACATCATATGGATTTTGGTACAATTAATAATCGTGGGATCCATAACGTATACTTCATAGGTACAATTATTGGAGTTCTAGCAATTACTGTCATATGCAACTTCTCCTACTCATCAATTACTCTTCTTGACTTTTCGTTCAATTATTCTAATAGCTCTGTTGCTAATGGTTATGGAAGATGCTCGAAGCTGAAGATATTACGTGCAGGTTTCAATTCAATCACAGGATCTCTTCCTACAATATCACTGATGCGTGTTTAAAATGTGGACAAAAAAACTTTCTGCCTGTGATTTTTTTTTTTTTTTTCGATTTGGTTTGATGCATTCGCAAAAATTCAAGAAGAAGGTCAACATATTCCTTGTCTTTGTAAGAAAAAAAAAGGGATATTCCTTGTCTTATCCTTCATTTTCCTTTTAATCAATGTACAGTACTCAAATATTCAACTTATATGCTGCAGAGCAGTCTGGTCAAATGACTAAAATTGAGATCCAAAAAATTAAAGATTCTAAATTCAAATCCCCCGTTCCTCTCTTCATCTATTAAATTTTTCCCTCCCCTCTTGCATATTTATATGAGCGAATATCTATGATTATAATTTTGATATAAGTGACTTTTTTAGGTTAAATACTTATGACCCCCTATGATTTTATATAATGCCAAAGGACCCCTCTAATGTTTCAAAATAGCCACATAACTCCTTATGGTTTTATGTAAAGTGAAAAATCAACGAAGTGCATAACCAATTACGGTATTTATACCAAACATGCTCTAAAATCTTGTGTGATAAAAGCTTAATTTTCACGTAACCCCTTTATGATTTGTATAAATATCCACTTTATTCCTCATGATATTTGCATTTATTCACGTAGTCTCCCCATACTTTTATATAAGGTAGTTAAGTCGTCGATTGATTTGGTATTTAAGCAAGTGCATTATTGACATTCAAATTAATGACATTACACAGGATATTTTTCATCAAGGCTCTATTTACATAAAACCATAGGGGTGAAGTGGATATTTTGAAACGTGACCCTTTCTTTATCGCTTTACCAACTTTTATGTATGACCAATTTTTTTTTTAAGAAAATAAAATATCACTTTATTTGGAACATTAAATGAATGATGGAATTTTGACTTATTTCAAATAAATGATTACATTCACCGCAATGATGGCCATAACAAAAAAGGATTATAAAACCACAAAAATCATATAGCGCATCTAACCAATCCTTGAAACCAATGGCTTAATTCAAAAATATATATATATATATATACGAGAAAGAAGATATATATTAAGAGAACAAATAAAGTTTCAAACTTGGCAAAAGTTAAATCTTTTCCTAAATTGCAGACATAATAATCAATAATTGAGCGGCCGACCCTATGAATTTAAAGCCTTGGGTTAAACTCTCTCCCCCTCCTCCTCACTTCTTAAAATCTCACCGCAACCGGAGGACTGCTCCTTTCCACTAAAGGCACAACCAGCTGCAACGTGTTCAAACTATCATTGAGGACAGAAAAGCAGACATGATTCCTATGTCTATGGAAAATGAAACTGAAGCCATAAATTCCTAAGAGATATGGGAGACGGCGACAAGTAACTGCCGTAGCCACGGTTCTTCGTCACAATACATACGTAGAAAAAATGTGAGTATGTATATAGAATAAAAGAAAGTGCTATTACGAGAAGTTGATAAAAGAGATAGAACAAGTCCTGAGTTCCGAATAAGAGAATTCCAGTAAATTAACAAGTGATATTCTTGAAAATTTCTTCACAAAATTCCAACAGTAACGCTGGATTTTAACCTGAAACTTTAGATTCTCCTTTGCATATATGAGCTAAATAACAAAAGCTTTGTTTCAAATGTAAATTCATGGTTCAAACAATGTTTTAAAACCGGTTCAGATCAGACGGTTGGAACGTGAACCAGCCCGGCCGTGATACAGGTCTGATTCTATATTTAACTTAGAAAAATTATTATGAATCAGTCAAACCCTATTAAGAACCAACTGATCAAACCTGCTAACAAATCAGCTTTTGAATTGGTTCCCCGCTAAATATGTCTTATATATATATGTGTGTGTGTGTGTTAATTTTAACCAAGTCATTTAATATTAAATAATTAAAACGTGTAAAATTATCGAATCGGATTTTGAATCAATCAAATCGGTTGAACTACAAACCAAAAGTTGATCCAATGCACTTGTCAATCCGGATTTCAAAACATTGGGTTCAAAGACGGTAGGAGTCTACTACCATACTCGTCCAAGAACAACGCGTACAAGCAAGGGTGAAGCTACATGCTCCTAAGGCGGGCAATGCCCCTTCCCCTAAAATTTTTTAGAAACCCCAATTTAATTACACCCTCTCAAACCACAGGAATTAGATACATAGCACCCCTTTAAACAACGAATCATGGTTTGCTTACTAAGCTTAAATTAACCAATACCCAATGTCTGAAAAACAAAAAAGGCAAGAGAATAAGAGATGCATAAAAATTTAGAAAATTCCACATTAGACTTTTAGCAACACGGAATACTTATCCAAATGCAGTCAAAATGTGTCTAAGGAAGAAACAAGGTAGTTGAGGAAAATAATAAAAATGAATAGTGAGAAACTACTTGCAAAATGGAAAATAGATTAATTACTGTGTTAGAATGTGTATTGAATATATTTCTTTTTTTCTTTTTAGCTGATTATTTTGGTGGATATTTTTTGGTTGCATCGTAATGATATTTTTCAATCACCTTCCATCTTTTCAACTACATTTTTTTAAAATCTTATATACATTACATTGTAAAAGAAACTACGTACTATAATATCATTCTAAAAAATTAAATATTCTTCTGTCCAACTATTTCATATATATATATATATATATATATATAAGGTAATAATTAATGATTTAAAATCTACAATTTAATCAAACTTCTAACATTGCCAGAATTTGTCATATTTGTAACACGTGGCAATTCTAGTCCTTTCGAGTTACACCTGTGTCCTCTCTATTGCCGGCCTCTCTTACTGTATTGGACACTTTTCAGATGGATGAGCGGTGGACCGCCTGAGAACAGGACGGCCATCAATTTGATGTTACGTGTATCTTGACTGTTGGCGGGTGTGGTGTGGAATGAATGATTAGATGCTGATCCCAGTTAGTATATTAGAGTTCGTTAACAGTTTTAAGACACTATATCTTGTGACAAGAAATGACCTCATGAGCGCGTCACTAGATCATGGGTACATCCAGATTTCCTTAATATAGAAACTTTAACTCATTTGATTACTTCAAATCCTCAAGCCTAATAGTTTCTTAGGAAGTTAATAGTAGTATTAATTAATTAAAGTGTGTAAATACAATAGAGGATAATAATTGTTAGGATTTGTCTAAATGGGCATGCGTCAAGATATATTTCAAGTGTGTTATTTTTAAAAATATAAGATTGATATAGAAATATAAATAAATACAAGGAATGGTAGGTAAGACTAAATAGAAAAAGTATATAAATACAACAAGTGAAGTTAACAATTATTGGTACATGTATATATATGATAAGTTAAGTGAATTTTAGATATATTAATAAGCGACCAATTGACACCTGTTAGATTAGAAAAAACTCTAATTGTTAATGTGTGTGTGTGTGTGTATGTGTATATATATATATGATAGATTGGATGAAAATTAGGTATTCTAACGAGTATCCATCGAGCACGTGCCAGAGAAATCCTAAATTAAAATAGGTCAAATGAAGTTTAAAGTAGTCATGTTAACTTTATTATTGAGCAACTACATATTAGCTGCAATATATTTGGATTGGCCATAATTACACGTGAAAAGAAAAATTATTTACTTGCATCATAAATACGTATCTTAATAATATTTTTATCTATTATTGTTTATCTCACTTATATCACATCAAAAAAATATATTATAGAAATTATTTTCCAAATAATCTTCTAAATTTTCTCAAAATTTTGCACTACGTTAAGGTCCTAATAATAGGATAATAGCAGAGATGATTATAGCTGTCAAGCGTGAAGAGAGAGCAACAATAACTTAATGATCGGAGGTCTATTGAAACCATTGTAATATAATTAGTCTGCCTTGTTTTTGCCATGATATAACATTCTTCCGCCAAGAAACCTGCTAACTTGCCGGTTTACCAAATTTTCTTTTAAACAAGAAGGGTAAACAGGACAAATATAGATAGTTCCTTGTGCATTTTATAGCATAATCAAGAGTTATTTCTCTTTTTGAAGAGGACGATTACATATACAATCAATCATCATAAAGCATGAACAAGAATGCTAGTCCGGCACAGTGGACAAGTTCTGCTCTTCTTCAACCATTTCTGAATGCATTCAGCATGAAAAGTATGATTACAAGCAGTAAGCTCCCAGCAGGTTTCCCCATCTTCAATCTCACATATGCAGATTGTGCAGCTGCTCAAGCTTCCATCCCTTCCTTTTCCTCCAGAAACGACTTTATCTACCACTACTTCAACTCTTGATGATGAAGTTTGCAGAACTTCTTCTCGAAATCCACCGCTGGTAGCAGGTTGCGCGGCCCCGGCTACTGCAGATTGCCTTTGACTACGGATTCTGTTGGAGAAATAGGTCTTGCATTTTATGAAAACAGCAGATAAAATGAATGCTAGCAGCCCAGCTCCAAAATAAAAGAATACTTGAACTTCGTTCATGTTTTTTTTTTTTTCAGAAAGAAGGGACAATTTGCTACATGATTATAGCAAGAGTTTCTTTGTTTGGTGCTTGTGGGCTACAAGAATTATTCAAGTATTTGATATAATAATAGTGGTTTTGAAGCTGAAACTCTGAATCCTCCAAACATGTCCTTGAGCACCGAATGATAAGTTGGAGGTTCTAAACTCTGGATTACGATTCTTCCTTGTAGGGGAACAAGAATAGGTAAAGAGCGAAGACACAAAAGTCAAGCAGTTTGGATACTGTGGTATAATTTAATTTCTTTGGACAATGTCCCTATTGAGATGTAGCTTCGACGTTGTGCCAGCAAAGTAGCATTGGTGTTTCCAGGACACGAGGCGAGGGTCCAGAAAAGGAATATTTGGGTCACGTAGATTGGGAATTCAGGTTGCGTCTCCAGTCATCTCATTTAACAATTATACATTTCTTGATGCGATTTTTAGCACTCGCGAAAACAAAGCAAAGCAAAATGACAAAGGGCCGATGACTTCACAAGCACAAGGATGGGTAACCAAGTTTTTGTAAAACGTAAAAGAAATGCGTAACCAAGGATGGGCATCAAATAATTCAACTCCCGTGTAAGATTAAAATAAAAACACAAAAATTGAATTGTTCTTCTCTAATCCAAAATACAGGGTAGCCTCTAACAACCATCTACCTAAGCAAGAATCATCATGCTGAAGTTTCAGACAAGAAGAAATACTTGCAACCATATAGCAACAGAATGGTGGTTTCTTCAATTCAGTAATTCCAGGACGTTGACAGCTTCAAACAGGGAAACGAAACTGAGATGCTCTAAAGTTGTATAGATCAAAATCTGCATCTGTATGACCAATGCCCCTTTTTGAGTTTTGAGAAGAAACAGTTTTCAAATTTCAATCAATATACCTTTGGCTTCACAAGCAAAGTTTCAAACTTTGGAATTGGATATAAAGCAGTTCCAGATACTACAGCTTTTAGAGTTTCTCTGAAATGTAAAACACCCTCCAGCACCCTTCTAGGTCTGTTTCTAGTCATCCCAAGTTGATGGTCCACCTAATCCAACTTCAGCCACTGGTGACAAATCAAAGTTGGCAGCCCGGTCCCCAAGATTCTTCTTTTTCTTACCCTGTTTTGGAAATTTAACTATGGCACCAGCTGAATCAATGCCTGGAACACTCTTCTGTTCCATCTTCTGACCCTGCCTATAGCATTTTCAGCAACATCAGTAGTAAGCAATTCCACAAATGGGGCTTCTCCATCATCAATGATGTTCCCTGTATTTTGTTTCAACTTCTTTTTCAATTTCCATCACCTTTTGTCGGGATGATACTATCTTCCCCATGGTCTTCTTCCCTTTCCAGTTTTTTGCGCTTCAATTCCTTCCCTGCTTTGGGATTGACTGGAGGAAGTTTTGAGCCATCAGCACTAACATCTTTGTTCAATTCTAACTTTGAATTTTTCTTTCTTTCATTTTCTGAAGTCACTCTCTCCTTTGTGCTTACCAATTTCTCCTTCAATAGTTTATTTCTCTTATGCTTCTTATTGTCGGATCCCTTCTCTGTTGCCCTATCTTCAGCATTACCAAGAGGCTGATCATCACCTTCTTCAATCCCTAAAAGATACTTCTTTGAGTTCTTTGTCCCCTTGAATTATCCGTCCAATCCTCCTTTTGGCCTGCTAGTACATTGCTGTCAGTAATGTAGCTGTTACTTCCATCAACTTCCTTTTTCATGGTTTTATCTGTTGGTCTAGCATTAAATATCTGCAAGTTTGGTAGTAGTTTCTTGATCTGCTTAAGAATCATTTTCCTAGAGGTCAGTTTTGAAAGACAACTAAAAGGGAAATAATATTAATGAGACAATAAAACAAGATCTTCACCTTCTTAGCCAATGTTTCCTTTTCAGAAATAGGGTTCCCCTGTAGGTTCAGATTTCTGAGGTTAGCCAAAGAAGAGAGCACCTGCCATTATATGAGAAAAGAGTCGCACAACAAAAGTACTTTTAGCCATATCCAATAAAATTATCAATAAAGCACCACAAGAACCAGAGACGAGAGCAAAACCTTCAGATCTGACCAGTTCGTAATTAAGTTGTTTCCCACATCTAGATTCTGTAGTTTAGAATTGTGGCTCAATTCAACTGGAAGAGTCTGAGTAACAGAGACGGATGATACCAGATAAAATACAAACCAAATTAATAGCATGATTTATGCATCACTTCAGGCTGTACTCAAACAAAATTGATAATGCAAGTCAGAGAAACAACAAATTTTGGTGGGTGGGGGCACTGCAACACTTAAAGAGACCTCAAGAATACTCAGGCATAAATAAAACAGGATGAATTACACAACACACCTTGATCTCATTATGAGCAAGGCGAAGCTCTTTTAACTCAGTGCAAGAGGTAAGTGAGGAGCCAATGGTTTGCAACCGACAGTTAGACAGAGAGAGCTGAAATCAAATATAAAGGTAGACGTTACAAAACGCCCCAAGAAATGCTGCAGCTCAAGGCAATAATTGAAACACTTACCTTCGTTATTGACTTTGTTTTGACCAGAGAGTCACCAATCTTACTTACTGATTCCTAGACAGAACTGCACATAATCAGCAAATGGTGATTATAACTATTAACTATAACGTAATGAATATAAAATTTTCAAGAAACAATTCGAGAATCACATATAAAAGCAATAAAGGTGAACATACAACTCATAAGAAATAGTGTACAAGCTCTGAACATTGTCAAATAAGAAAAACAAGAATGAACCATCCTAATCAGTTACAGCAGAATAACTATGCTCTTAATGACACCAACCCGTTAGATGCTGTATTAAAACACTATTGCAATGTAGCAGCCAGCGTGAAGAACAAAGAAGACAGGAGTAGAAACATACCCAGGTATTAGGTTAATAAACTAAATATTGTTTGCATAACATTATATATTTGTCCTAGTTTGTGGAGTAGATGATCCTAGTATGGTTCTCTGAGCTATCATCTATAGGTTACTAATTCAGATCTCACTCAAAACAAACTCACTCAAAATTTTATTCTATGTCAGTGCTTCTGCTAAATTCTAGACTCATATCCCATCATGTCTGCTTTCTGCATTCTCTAATGACAGCTTTTAAGTTTGAAGACCACAGCACGCAATAGTAAAGCCTTGTTTTTGAAAACTGCCTGTCTTTATTCTGTTAAGTGCTGAAATTTATTTGTGGCCTTTCATAAGCCAGAAAATCACGAGTCTTTCAGGTTTCAGCAAAGGCTCGGACCTACAACATGGCAAACACATATAGGATCACAGCCTGAAAAAAGATAACTTGTCCTTTTGGGGACTTTGATCCACAATTATGGAGGTTAAAAAGGTACTCACTCTTATCTAAAGGCAAATACATTCCGTACTCAAGATAATAGATCAACTTAAGCAACTGCATCTCCCTCTTAAAAACAGGTTTATTGATACTTGCAATATACTAACTAAAAATATTTCTTGAAGCAGCAATCATTTTGCACTGCACTTCCTGTTATATTTGTGGTAATGCTTTGTTAGTTGTAATACTCATATAACCTTCATCTCAATTAAATGACTGACACTAAGATAGGTCATCATTTGCTCTGAGTGAGTCAGACTGTCATTCGAGTCATCCCTAAATCTGAAAGGAAACATGTTCAACAAAATGATGCTTAAATAATTCTGGAACCATGCACAAAAGAAAATTAAACAAAACTAATTGGATGAAATGACAGAAGTTAATATGGATTTTTATGAAAAACCAGTGGTTCAGAAAGTTAATCATCATCATTTGCTACAGAATCAAACTCTAGTTAAGAATTTTGAAGCTGATGAATATTGGAATCTACTGAAAGTCACCATCAACGGATCATAATAGAAAACTTGGACCATATACCAAGAGTGTTCAGCTCCTTCATTTGATCAAGCTTGGAAATTGAAGAAATTTCATTGTCTGCCACCAGAAAACAAGTCAGAAAATAAAGAAATTTATTTATTAATAGAGACACTGGTTAAATGAAAATGATAAAGCAACTTAATCTAAATAGCTTTACCATTTAAGATCAATGCGCGCATGCTCACAAGAGACCTGACATCATCCATAGTTTTGAGCTTGTTCTTGCCAGCATTTAAGACCTAATTAACCCAAAAAAAATTGGAGTTAAATCAACATTCATGAAATTAAAACCCAATTCACCTGTTCTACCATAGTGCTTCCACTATCAAATATTCATGACACGCTTTTGACTCGTTAGACCACATTGGTTCTAACTGATAGTTTCTTGTTCTCATGATTTGGGAAAGAATATGGGTTTCATTTCATTCTTCAAGAGAGATCATTACAATGTCACTGGTGAGATAAAGAGAATACAAGTGACTGCAGTGGCGTACTAGGAACAAAAAGCACATTTCGTCTAGAGGAACAAAAACCATATTTTCTCCAAAATCATCAGAAAACGAAAATGCATAGAGTTGTATAGGTAGTTTCCTACAGAATTCATTCATGAGCTGCTGCAAACTCATTTTCCCTTCGAAAGCTTTGCATTTTCTGATGCATAACACACTTAGAAGAAACAAAGGTAGAACGAGGACTGTAAAACCAGGAATAGAAAAACCAGCAGGCAGATTTTGCAAATCAAATCCACAGAGTATACCTCAAAATTTAACAAATTAAGCATATAATCGTCCTAACATAGCCAAGAACTGAAAAAAACAAAAAAAAAAAAAAAGAAGCATTTAAAGGATGGGAAGAAGTGTACCACTCACAGTGAGTTTAGTAAGCCCCTCGATACCTTTCAAGCTCTGGAGCTTATTCTGTACCACTGATAACCACTTCAAGTTTACACATTTTCCCAAAGCCTATTTTCAGAACACCAAAATATTCAACAAAAAAAAAATGCAAAAAAGATCAAAGAAATACCATTTAAACAAGAAACCTTGCTTAAAATAATCGCAGCAAAATAAGCAGTAAACAGCTTAGGAATTTCCTACCTCAACTGAAGTGAGATTATTGAAGCCAAGATCAAGTCTTTCCAAACTTTTGAAATCACCCAAGCATGAAACCTATCAAAAGCGAAAGAAAAAACATCAATTCAAAGATTGAACTTTTAAAGCCATGACACTTGCAAAAACATAAATTCCAGGGTGGTTTTGGTAATTACATCAGAAAGAGCTTTCTGGGTGAGAGTGAGATTTGTTACAGAGTTGGGATCACTAGCATTCTTTTCTTGTAGTATTTTCTTGGAGTTCAATACAGTCATGGCGAGTGCAATGGGTTTTTCTTTTCACCTATTGTTCTGTAAAACCCTAGGCAAGTTTTCAACGGTTAAACAAAATAAACAAACTGAGGTGAGGTGTAAAAGAAAGCATTTTGTTTTATTTATCATTGGGGCCTTCCATATTTGCAAACTTCTCAAAAATTTCAAGAAAATAGAGGTGTAAGCAATTATAGGCTTCAAGCCAAACAATTGCTTCACTTTGGCTCAATTTTTGCTCCTGCTTCAAATATAGCTTTGATGGTCAGTTTATCTTTGATCTATCAAAAAGATTTTGATTTTTAACACATCGAATAGACGGAAGCTGTAGTGTAAGAGAAGCGGTCTGACTGGCAAAACTGCTAAACATCCCTAGCTACATTTTGGGGGGAGATTTGTCCTCAGCTATTAATCTTATCCAAAGCTGAAGACATTCTCTTGGATGTTGGTTTAGTAATTGAGGATGTTAGACTAGCTTTCTTAGAGGAAAATATTATTGATGTAAAATAGATTTTTAGAGCAGCTAGCACGATTGCGCATAGATTTGCTCACTTTGCAAAGTTGGGCAAAATAGGTTAAGAGTCTTTGGAGCTCCTCTTCGAATTTTGTCCATTAATTGTGTATTGGATGATTTTCAACAATCTTCATTATAGTATTCGTTGTGTTTCTTATAAAAAAAAGTTAAAATACAATATAAGTTAAAATTATAAATTATGTTATGTGTTTTTATGTGCTTTGTATGGAACACAAAATGAAATTTAGTTCTTAAGCATTC